ATTCTGACTTTATTGATAATAAAATATAAAATTCTTATATGAATATTATGTGAAAAATATTTACCCTATGGGTATTTGCAAATAATTTCGTACCTTCATATCCTTATTATATTATTATTTTGCAATATGAGGGTGGATTATATTAATAGGGTGATGATGAATATTTATTTTAAATTGAGATAAAATATATATAAGAAAATTTTTTGCCAATACTTATATATATCAGCTGATAAGAATAAATAAAATAATTTAATGGTGTCTCAAGAAGAATAAATTTCACAGATTCTTGAAAGAAAAACTAAATAATTAGTGATCAAGTAATCAAGATTTAAATTCTGTAGCGTTTCGAATAATTAATCAATGAATTGGTTTTATACTGCCCAAAAATTCCTCAATTATCTATTGTACACAATATACATAGTCAATATATTTTAGTTGATTTCTATGTATAATTTTACGTTTAAATATGAAATTTTTCAAAAATATCCTAACAGATGAATTATTTTAAAATATTTATGATCACATATAGTATACGAATTCCCTAATCCTTTTCTGTACTACATTTTTTGTATAATATTCTATTATACATTAATTTAATTTTTTAATTTTAAGATTGAAAATAATTACAAGATAATTGTGAATATCTGCAAAAAATTTCCATTATCACTGTGAATTTTCGCAAAAAATTTCCACTATAATTGTGAGTTAATAAAATATAAAATTTAACCACGATTTTCCACGAAATCTAAATTTTCTTTTCACCTCAGGTTAGAAATATCTATTATACGAACCCATTGCAAATCTATAAAACTAAAATTGAAATACAACTTTCTCTTTGTTTATTAATATAACAATAATGCTGTCAATTTTGGCACAATATCCTTAAAAACTGTTCCTTTTCTACTCACCACACTAAATGCACATGAGAGGAATTAATGTAGTTTGAAATTCATTTGTAGTACTACAAACGCTACCAGCTACAGAGGTGGGAAATTAATAAAAATGGTAGAAATCTTTGCAGATTTTGCAGATTTTTTTTTCTGTAAAATATTATTTTTCTGTTTTTTGCAGATTTTATTATTGCAATTTTCTTTACTTTGTTTTAATGAAAAATTCTATTATTCTTCCATACTTATATTAAAATTGTATTGGTATTAGTGAATAAAATTTTGTATTGAGTTTTTGTTAATTACTGAACATAAGGATTATCGAAATTTGCTGAAAAATAAAAAAAAGAGAGAGAGAGAAACATTCAAGAAAAAAAGGCTGAAAAACGAAAGTATAAAATGGAATGTCCTAGTTTGGTTGGTGTTTGTTTTTTTTATTGTTGGGGTAATGGTTGTGTACAGTTGTTGCAGACAACACAAAAAGGATACTTGCTGTTACAGAATATGAAATTTTTAAGAGCAGATTTTAATAAAAATACGTAAGATTTCTTGAATAAAAAATATTTCTATAAGATTTTTGAAGACTAAGAAGTGAGATTACTATAAAAGTAATAAGGAATCATGTAGAATTTTCTATTTGTTTAAAATTACGTGCAGCAACAGTGAGTGTTACGCGTTGTCTTACTATAATTTTATTGGGACCATTATAGGGTTGGGTATTGGTTAAAAAAAAATTTCCAGTCGTATTTTATTTTATGTTGGGGTTGATGGTGGTTAATTTATCTTTTTTCTTTTATGTTTTTCTTCTTCTCTTCTTTCACTTCATATCCTTTTTTGTTTATGTCTGATATCAGTTATGCGCATTTCATTTGTTTTGATGTTTGAATGTTGCATAATTTTTGTTTGTTTTCTCTGTTTTTCGTTCTTTTTTTTTTTTTTTCTTATGTACTGCGATTCTCTGTTTGGGTTTTCGTTTTTTTTTTTTTTATTCCTTTTTTACGTATTTAATAAAATTTGTACTTTTTATTTTACCCCAAAAAAATGGTTTGAAAAGTGTATTGACTTTTTTGTTTTGATTGCTTTGTGTTCTTTTTTTTTTGTTGTTTGTTTTCTTTTTTTTTGAAAATGTATTGAATTAGTGAAGCAAGGATATTCTTTGTTATGGTTTATTTTTCAGGGGTTTTAGTAAAAAAAAAATATTATTTTTTGTTTTGTTCCGTTTTGGATGTTTTTGCAAGGACCTAATATAATATTCAAAATATCTAAAATTTCATCCATCGTAAAGGGAATGCAGATTTTTCGCTTTTTTTTTGAAAGTATATAAAAGTTATTTGTTAAAAAGTATTGAGTATAATTTGAAATTTAAAACAGATATGATTTTGTTTGTTGTTCTGTACATAGGTACAACATATAAGACAATTTTGAGGATTTTGTTTATGAAATTCAAAAAGGGATTCCATGCACTATAAGTATATATTCAGTTGAAATTTCGTCCTTTTTATTTGGAATATTTTCAGTGGTGTACAGTTATATGTATGTAATATTGCATACTTATGTGTTCAAGAATCAAAGAATAACTCATTCCATTCAAAAATTCGTTAACATAATTTGTGACTAGAAATTGATTTAAGAGATTTGTTTTCTTCCCTAGAAAACCATTATTGACTAAACAATTTTGGTATAGTTGAAACGATCGATAATAAATAGTATGATAGTCTATACATGGCAAGGATATTTGCCTGATTATATTTCAAATAATGTTCTAATATAACAATAGTCAGTCTAGCAAAATTTTTAAAATTTTAATTACCAAATTTTGTTCTTCTATAGTTTTTACAACAGGGCAATATTTATGAAACACACACACAAAGCGTTTTATAATGCAACTATATTCAAGATCAAACAAATAAAAAAAAATTCACCATTTTAATATTTTATTAACAAATTCTTTTTTTTTTGAAAATCGAAAGTGATTGGGATTGAGATCACATACTCGTATTATTGATTTGAGCTTAAAATAAAATTGAAAAAAAATTCAATATACAAACAAATATGAGAATAGGGGCAAAAACTCTAAAATGAGAACATAAAAATTCATATTGTTTTTTTAATCTGCTAAACCAAACGTTTATGAATCGAAAAATTGAGGGCAAAGAATTTTTAATCCTCTCATTATGGTAGATATTCAAAATATTATGAATACTAGTAGTTGATTATTAATTTTGAAAGTTTTAATGTCACAGATGCTGTAGTATGTACAAAATGTGTGTAAGTGCTTTCATTGAGTCTTTATGTTTAATAATAAATCAAAAATTTATGCATTATTTGAAAATATTTTAAGAGAAATAGGTTAAGATTGGAATTTAATAATGTATACCATATGCTTATTATTGATATAGTGCCTAAATAATTTGAAATTGTGGAATATTTAATGAAAAATTTAAACGACATTACAAAATTTTTCACTAATTACAACATGTTTCGGGTGAGGGGGGGGGGGGGGGGGGGGGGTATTGGCATTAAATTACACTCTAATTAACTAGAGAATTTCCGATTGCATTCCATGTAAATTTTTCTACACAACACCTTTGTTTGTTTCTACAATTAGTTTGTCTGCTTTGTTAAAATGTAGCTTAATTAATAAGAAATTTCAAATGCAAATCAGATGGAATTTTCAAAGCTAGGTGATCGAACATTGTTCAAATTCAAATTAAATAAATCGAATTCTTTAAGGTATTTAAGAGAACTCAATCTACAATATATAAAGTCTTATAATTTTTATTGATCAAGAGGATAACATGCATATTTAAAATCATTATACCCTTGATATTTCATATTTATATTACATACACACATACACCCGGAATAATATTATATTATACACTAATATCATATTAGTGCTGTTACGCGTAAATTCCAATATTTTTTTTTTTTGTGAATTTCAATTATTTAAATGGAATCAATTTACTTTTTCATAAATATTTAATCTTTTAAGATCTTTATAATAATGGGAGTATATAAGAGAAGAATGTTTTCAATGGATATATTATTTTCAATTTAATAAATATTTATATCGTAATGTGGATATTAAAAATATGGGATATTGTATATAAAATGTAGAATGGAAACAGGTTGTTTTGGAAAATTTTTAAATTAAACCAGTAAAATTAAAGTTAGGACTGTTGCTTTTTCCAATAGAGATCCTCGCTGGCCTAATTATATTTTTGTTGATAGCAAATTTACGTATAACTGTTACAGGGGTGAATAAGGAGTCTGCATAAAATTGGCATTATATATTGGAAATATTTACTGTAGTTCTCTTTTTTCAATAGAATCATGGTGTAAGCAGTAAATCTCACTATTAAAAATAACAAAATTTTTAACTCTTGATAAGTTTCGTAATTCTTTAATTTCACAAAATTTGGATAGAAGATAATCTAAACTTCTTAAAAAACGTATGTAGTTTGAAAGCAATTTTTAAAACTTTATTCTTAATGGTCTTAAAATTTGTTCCATCATGAAATTTATCTTCACAGGAATGACCAGGAAAAAGGTAATGGTTGGTTGGAAAATCTTTCGCGAATCGTTTCGAAAATCGACCTTATAACATAAGCGCCAATTTGGAGTGATAGTTCCCTTCGAATTCGAGTGTTGTTGTTTAAGTAAGAACTGAGATATTTTTAAAATTAATTGCTGTGGCTGAAATACTTTTAAATATACAATATTGTTATACCTCATATTATCTGTATAATGGATTATAATAACAGTATTTATATAATTTAAAAATAAATGAACATAATATTATGTACATATATGTTAACAAAAAATATACATTTAGCGTATTGTTATACAGTAATATTAAAATAAGAAGCAAAAATTAAAAAAAAAATAAAGTCAAAAAATTATAAAAAATAATTAATTAATAAAAATAAGAAAATATTTTTCTTATATCACAAATTAAGGACATATATTTGATCCTTTTATTATAAATTAAAAAATATAAAAATATTAAAAATTGTATAACACTTATACATATATAAATAAATAACAGTAAACATTTATTTTTTTATATATATGTAAAATTAAATATTATTTAAGATAAAAGAAACTAACCTGAATTCAGGACCGAAGACTTTTCTATCTATATATATAACTCGTCTATTATTTGTAATTAATTTTGTTTTGTTTTTTTATTATTTTTTTCGATTTGCACATATTTGATATCATTATTATATAATTTGTGTGCGTATATATAAAGATGTGTTAGTAAAACATTTTTTTAATAAATTTTCATGTTGTTTTTTTTTTTTTTGCATAATAATAAAGAAGGACAAAGAATAAATTTTTTTAATTATATTATTATAAAATTTTATTATAAATAATTATACTTGTATAAAATTAAATTATATAATATAACACTTATATATATATGTATATATATATATATACATATATAAAAATATATATAATTTATTTAAAATAGCTTTTTGTCTTATTATTTTGAAGCAAAATACCAATGTATATATTATGTATATTAAATTAAAATAAATAATTTATTTCCTTAAAATTATAATATACAAGTAATATAGAAGAGGTTATAGCAGATATTATACATTATAATATAATAGGAGTAGCACAACAGAATATATATAACTTTTATAACAGTATAATATAATATGAAACATATTGTAGAAGTAAATGAAAAAGTAATCATACATGGGAATTGAAAATAATATATATACATACAAAATATTTATATATATATATATATATATATTAAGTTTATATATAGCCACAAGCCAGCATGGATAGTAGAATATAATCATTGTATATATTATATGTGAGTATGTGGTATGTAAATTTTGTACAATATTTTACACATTTAAATTTTCATATAAATCTGATAGTATACATATAAATGTATTTAGGAAATATATACATATATGTATAAGTAATGTATATATAGCATATTTTAAGAATGGGGATTTTGAGGATAAGCAGAATATATATAATATGTAGGTAGTATATGTATATATAGGTAGGTATATAAATTAAACAAAAGTATTAGAATATAGGGAACAATAATATATGAGATATACTTAAGGTAAGCAGAGCACCTTATGATTTGTATATCTGCTGAACACCTATAATATGTATATAATATGGAAGCAATAAACGATATATAATTATATTATGTGTAACATTTTACAGGGTGATTTAAAAATATTATGTATTCTATTGAAATGCCATAAATTTTGAAAATAAAGTTTTATATATATAGATATCTCTGAATCTAATATTGAATCTAATAATGAGTCTAATAATGAGTCTAATAAATCAAAACCAATAGCATTATTTTAATACAAATGAGATAGTTATATGCTTACAGGGTAGATTGTATACAATATTAGTCTTATTTTTAAGAAGAGTTAGATGGGATTCGATTTTTTCTTATCGAATTTTAAAATATTGTAGTTTTGTAACTCAATATGCTTATAGTTGAATGCCTATATAGCCTTTCTGTTCAAATTCCACAAAAAATTTATTTAACAAAATTTAAATTATTAAAATGCCAGAATTTATTACACACTATTTGCTATCTTTATTTTAAATAGAATAATTAAAATTTTGATCCTTTATTAAAATCTTAATTACTTATAAAAATCATTTTATCCTTACAACATTAATTTCTATAATTTTATAATTAAATCACCCTGTATTATGATTAAATACATTATTATTTTTTATATAGCATAAACTTTTTATAATGATTATAATGTCAAATAATAATATATACACGTATAGTACGTACGTACATATATATAATATTTGTACAGTAAAAAAAAGGATATCCGCAATATAACTGGTTTTTATGATTATAATATAATAATAATAGCATAAATATTCCATGAATTGTACACCTTAACAAATAATATAAAAGTATACAGTTTTAACATGGTATGTATACAAAAAAAAAAATGCCATAAAAACAAACACACACGTACACACAAACAATTATATAGAATAAGGAGGAAAAAAAAATAAATTAAAAGCACAAACAGAAAAATTTTCAACTCTTTTTTTTATTTTCCGTAATTTCTGTTTTTACTTTTTAAATATCACCTAGAATATTTCGGAGTAAAAGGATAATTTTATTTTTTTTTCCTTCATTTAATTTTTGTTTTTTTTTTTGACCTATTTTTTTTATACTTGGTAATCATTTTCTACAATCATTTTCCTTCTGCTAAGAATTTTAAATTTCTTAACAAAAACGAATGGTAGGAACCTGCACATACAAAAAAAAATTTTTAAATTGATGAAAGTCAAAAAATTTGGCAGGTGTTAAAATAAGACAAAAAAATTAAAGAAAGATCAAAAATAAAACCATAAGAAAATTTTGAAAGGATTCAAATGTATAACAGTTTTATATTTAAAGTTTATAATTTTGTATATCAAGTATGAAAAGAAGAGAACTCCCTCGTTTATCCAACAATTATATCTAAACTTTCATATAGACACACGTACATGTGCTCATATAGAACACATGAACTAACAAAGATATATATATATATATATATATATATAAAAAATGGAGCACATCATTATTATTTTAATGTAGGTAACATAAAGATGAGAAGAACGACAAAAAAAAAAACAATAACGAAGGACTTATTTGAGATAGAAGATGTGAGAGGATATTCAATGTGAATTAAATTAAAAGGATCCCCCAACAAAAGAAGAAAAAACAAAAAAAGCATGAAATATAATTTTAAATTATTAAAGAGAGACTTTTTTTTTTAAATATTGAAATTTTGAATACAGCGCGGGTGTTCTGAATGAGGGGGATTGCATTAATTTTTAATAAATAGAAGTTTTCTTTGTACAAGGATATTTACATCCTGCAAATATCTAAACAAAGAAAAAAATATTAAATATTTATAAATATTATATTGAAAATATTTTATTTAATCAAAGAATGACTTTGATATTTTAAGTTGCCTATATCGGAAGGAGATATTTTTAAGAAAATTTTTCGGATAAGGATTTATGAAAAATTTTCCAAGTAAATTATCCTCTTACAGCATTTTTTTCTTTTCTATTATTTCTTAAATAAATATTTTTAAAGCCTATAATATTTTTTTTTTAAATGGAAAATTTAAAAGATTATGACTGTAAAATTTATATTTTGAATAACATTTTCGATTTTTAAGAAAGAGAAAAATTAAAGAATTTTCTGATTACCATCGAGAATTTGAATTTTTAATTTCAAAACTTACCTCAATGGGATATTGTTATATTTTCTTTAGAAATTAATTGTTAAGAAATTTTATTTAAAAGCAATCTTATGCGTATTTAGGCATGTGATATGTATAGACTCTATATATAGTGATTATACGAATTCCACTAATTTATAAAGAAGATAAGAGCTTGTTAAGTTACGTATGCATGTGTAAGGTCAATAGGTTATGGATTACGGAATATGTTTAACTTATTGTAATGCATTTACTTGTTGAGCGATCGTGTCGAATCCTTCACATATTAAGGAATTTAATGAATTCGTTAAAAATTTTTACAGTTTTCCATTTAACCTAAAGGTTTAATTGTGCTTGAAAATTTTAATGATTTAAGATATGCTCATAAGGAGGATTTAATGGTTTGGTCATTATCAACAGTGCTAAACAAGAGTCAATAGAAAGACATTTACTGATGTCCTTAATAAAAATTAAATATATTAAAACTGTTATACTAATTTATTCCTATTTTTTAAATTTTTATTTAAAAATATTTTTTTTCTTTAAATTATTTTAAATGTGTGAAAAAAGCAATATAATTATGGTTCGTTTTTTTTTTTAAATTAAAGAATCTATTTAGTTGTATTTTTAATGGGGTATAAAAATTTTACATTATTTATATTGCTGAGTAATTGTCCTATATATGTACATACTATGCATATATGCTAAAAAATATAGATTTGTTGTTATACGAGTATGCAAAGGTTCATAATAATTTAATGACACACATTTTATGTCTCCTATGTACATAAATATTTTTTACTAAATATAGAATTTTATATTTGTATATCTGTATGTATATATGTATGTACGATGTGTAAATAAATGAACATATTGTTATTTCTATTGTTAAATTTAATTATATTATTGCGGTAAAATATAGATAAATAATACTTGTTATAACAATATTTACATAAACACATATACGTACATGTTTGTGATATAGATTTTATATGATAACCATAACCATTAAAAAAAATCTATACGTTTATACGCAGAATAATGGTATTCTTCGGAAGGCAATATCAATAGTCATCCTGTCTATACTAAATATATGTATAGGTAGGTACTCTATCATAATGGAAAGGTCGATACTCAAATATATTATAACATTATATAGAGTACTGTTTTATAAGGGTCTTTATGTTATACATTTGTATAATAATTTAGGTAATAGAAATAATCTAGGGAAAATATTTACAAAATAATAATTGATATTTTGTCATAAATTCATAAATATTATGTTTTGTTTTTGATATTGCGTTTTTGCAATTAAATATTTTTATTATACATAATTTATAACAGAATATTTTTAAATAATATCAATTTGTTATATGAATGAATTTGAATGGGTTTTTATAGCCTATGTGTTCATAATTACCCAAAATTAGATTTAAGTATTAATAAAAATGTGATATTAGGCGTATAACAGTTAAAATTTAATTGATACATCTTTTGATCTCTTACCCAAAAAAGAAATACCCTCAATTTTATTACATAAAATTGAAATAACTAAATTTATTTCACATAATTTTTAATTAATTGCAAATTGATATGGCGTGTATTAAAAGTTTTCACCGCCTCCCAATTAATTTGATTGCATTATATGGCAAATATTTGAAAAATATTCAAAGGAATTCTTGCAGTCCGCCAAAATAAATCTAATTTTAGATCTAATATCATGGTTAAATAAACTTTTATAATTTGGGTCAAAAATCTACGAATATTTGAATAATGAACTCGAACAGAAAATTTTAATTAAAGAAAAGCCAGGAATTGTTTTTCATTCAATTTATGTAGATTTTTTTTTCGCTAAATGCAAATTTTATTCGAAATGTATAGGAAAAAATCATTTTAGTTACGATT